TCTTAAAATAAATCGCATTTATGTTGAATAAATACCATTTAGAACATTTTTATCCAGTTTACTCCAAGTACAGAGCAAATGATAGCTTTACCCTTCAGAGTGAAAGGTCATTCATATGAGTCTACAAACTGAAATCTAAACGCTTGTGACTCTGAACTTAACAGACAGTTTATGGCTTTGCTGTTTTATGCCCATTGAGAATAATAAAAGGAAAATGCTGTAGTTTTGCAAGTTTCTAAAAGCTTCAATATATGGAATGTAATTATCATTCCTGTTTTCAAATCTGTATTTCAGTGAGAATATTTTTCTCTATCTCTGTTGCTGTTAGCAAGTCAGAAGAATGTTAAAAAGGACAAATGTGTGGGATGTCAAAGTCTCCTTCAGTAAATAATGCATACAATGTGTGTATTGTGTAAGTAGCTTCAATGTAGCTATTACCAATAACATATATACACTTGTGTCCCAATATGTGTATATACTCTGACAGCATGTGTTATATATAAACTGTACAGATACTAGGTTTTTTTTTAGCTCGAGATGTGTGTGGTAGCCTTCCCTGAGACTTCCCTTTATGGTCTCTAATGCAAAAACCTATAAATAACACAAATACCAGAATTAGGCTCTAAATATGGAAGAAAAACATATCATAATATAAAAAAAAATATAGCATAACACAGTTTAGCAGATTAACCACATAATCAACCAAATGCACTCACAAGATGTAGGACTAAGCAGACATATCATGGAGCCTGCCCTGTTAGGGTTAGGGGGACGAGGACTTCCTCCTCCAATATTCAGATGTGCTGTTTCATGAAAGTTTCAGTGCACTTTATTCTTGTTCAAAGTACATTTATTCCAGCATAAAAGATAAAATACAACCAACAGCTGAAGGACCAACGCATTTCGACTGCTATATGCAGACTTTCTCAGAGACCATAAAAATATTTCAACAATAAAATCAAGGCAATGTTTCGAAATTGCAGCATCATTACTGTTATTATCTAGAATTAATTTTAATCTTAACTGTTTCTCCTGCCTGGATAGGAAGGTGAGCAAAGCACGCATTGTATCTTTTTATCTTCCCATAATGCTTCTGGGTCAGTCCAATAAAGCAATCTCTAACATGCATTTCATTCTGTGATGGTACTCCACTTTAATGGCTTAGCTGCTACTCATATTTCTATGATAATGGTATAAAGACAGAAACTGGTACCATTAACCTAAAATGTGATCTAAACTATACATTTGCTAGCAATTTGGCTAGCTTAATGCTCAGATGGCATATTAACCTTTTTAAAAGCACCAGTATGTCATTTTTCCATGAAAGGAGCACTTAAAAACAGTGAATTTTCGACACGTCACATATTTTTGGAGTGATTTATTGTTTGAAATATTTAATTGAAGAAAAAGTATAACAATGAAAGGCATTTAAAGGTAATTATGAAATGAAGTTCTTAAACAAGACAATAAAGATCACATACGTCTATTCAAGTTTGTTGAGCAAGAGATAATATTCAACTCTTGGTACCATTAGGAACTTGCAAAAAAAATTTGAAAAAATAAATATATTAATTAATTAAAATTGATAGCTCTCTTTAAGAAGGAGCATTATCATTGGTATAATGTTTCAGTATTTTAAAGAGTAACAGTCCTGAAAAATTAACAGTGATTTACTATATAGTGAATCATCCCATCTTTACATTGTGCTAGTCAAATTAAATAATTTCATTCTAATTAGATTTTTCTTCTCAAACTTAATCCTACATTTAACACATTGAGGTAAGTATGTCCTGTCCCAAAGTGATATGTTAATATCTCACAATGCATGCAATTGAAAAAAAAATTGCCATTTGTTGTGTATCGTTCGTAGGGCTGGTGCTGCCGTAAGATGGCACAGGCGGCTGCCTTCGGGTACACTGGTTTGGGGGGCATTGGATCTGGCTAAAGAGCAGAAGGGGAGCACAGCGCTTCCCTCCTGTATGTTTCAGCATTTAGTGTGGCTAAGCCATGAACTGTGGTAGAGGAGCTTCAATAACCTCTACCCAGTCTGACAGGAAGTGCTCACTGAGAGCACTAAACAGCTTCCTGTCAGACCAGGGAGAGCTCCTCTGGCATCTACACAGGTTAAGATGCCCTTTTTTTAAAAAAGAGGAACGGGGAGTGGGCGACAAATTACATCTTCACCTGTGTAGCCCAAAATTCTTCCATCGGCCATCATCACTTGTGTTCTAATTTTAGAAAGGTTATTTATGTACCTATAGTATCAGGCTGCAGGAAGGGAATACTTGCATTTTGCATTTGATGCAACCTAGAGTTTACTTAACCTAGAGTTTACTAATATTTTATAAACATGCATACAAGTGTGTTTAATACAGATTTTTTTATATAATGAATTAAAAAGGTGAAATCAGTACATCCAAATACAAATTAATAATTAGATAAAAACACATTGTTTGGCAAAAACAAACTCAAAGTCTGAATTATTTTTAGTAGCAAAATTGGGAACAAGTGAGCAGTTCTAATTATTTTGTCATCTTCTATAAAAATGTATTTTTAGTATAAATATGTCATTGCAATCACAATTAATTAAGAGAAGCCATCTGGTATGAAAAAGATGCCTGGAAAAATAAAATAGATTGAAATCAAAGACCTATAAGTGTGCTTTGTTAAGCAAAAATAATAAGAATCATAATAATGTACCTTGATATATAAAAATTAAAGCTGTAGCAGGACACAGATCGTGATACAACAGGTACATAATGTCTCAATAATAGACACAGTAAGGAAAAATAACATGTTTTGTATTAAAAGTATTCTAAACTTAAATGCAGAATATAGCATATATGTTTTATTGTTAGCATAATATTTAATCACTCTCTTCTTATGATACATTGATAATTTAACATGTTTTGTGTCTAATCGTAAACTTATGCTTATTCAGTCTAATTTGTGTACTGTATTTCTGCATGTCTACCTCTCTTAAATAAAGAATTTAAAAAATTGAAAGCTGTATTATATATTGACAAATGTAAATTACGCCGAGGTAAATAATAATATGTGTCATCTGATTTCTATGTTTTATAATAAAATATATTTGTAAAAGTATCTAAAACACTATATTCGGATATATCTAAGTTAGTTAAATTATTCAGCAGAATTTATTGAGGAATAAACATAGGAAAGAACTTGATTGGCTGAGAGTGTCATGGAGGAAGATCAGGGGCAGAGCCAGCACAAGCCAAACAAAGACTTGACCAATCAGTATCTCCTCATATAGATGAATTGAATCAATGCATTCTCATGAGGAAAGTTCAGTGTCTCCATGCAGAGGGTGGGAACACTGAATGTGAGTGTTGCACACTGTGCCCCAGGAAGCAGCTTTAGCATCCATCTGAGCAGTGGCCACTGGAGGTAACCGTAGGCTGTAATGTAAACACTGCATTCTCTGAAAAAACTGTATTAACTGCAAAAAGACAAAAGGGACTGTTAATACTCACCAGAACAAATACAATAAGCTGTAGTTGTTTTGGTGACTATAGTGTCCCTTTAAGGTAATATATTTGAATCGTATGGACAAAATCAAACATTTTAAGGGGGCAAAAGAAAAATAGAAATAGAAGGGTAAAGGGAGGGTAAAAATAAAGTAGAGCTCTTTGTATATTGTGTATCACCAATAAATCTGTATCATATTATATAGATAAATATTAGATTATAAAATAAACATAGTGTAAAATTCCAATGATTAAATAATATCAAGACTTAACGTATGTTAAAAGTAAACATTAAGAGATAACAGTAAATACATCTGTGTCAAATAAATAATATTTTAGAATAAATTATCGTAGTTGTCTCTTTTAGAACGTATCTTCCCATTGAACGGAAATCGAAATTGAATCTATAGAGAAATAAGTATGATAGTAGGCAAAATTCAGGTTGGGAAAAGAGAATTGTTTGGAGAATTTCAAATATTGTCTGTCTTCATTAGAGGTTAATATGCTTGTAGCAGGGATAAGATCATGTCATTTGTCAGTCTTCAAGTGAGACTATCCCTTTGGAGTTTTTCATAAAGATAGAATTTTAAATCACAAATAAAATAAGGACTAATTTGTTTCACATATTAGTCAATTTTTGGCAAAATAGAAATCGACAGAATTCATCCTGCCATTTTCTCAATTATAGGCGAGTTTGGGGTTTTACCATATTTCTATAACTAATTATCAGAATCATTATGTATTGTATGAGCAAAAACTAAAAAATGAGAGGTATGCTATTATCGGGCATAAATTGTACTTTTTTTGTGTAGATGCTAAATAAGACAATTCATTGATTTTGTTGCCAATTTAATAAACATAAATGGTTGAGCAGTTATGCTCAAAAATTTGCATACCCGAAAGAAATTGTAAATTATAAAACCATTTATTATCACATACTTGCTTGGCTTCTTTTTGAAGTGTTAGACTGTAAATAACCACACGGTCTGGATGCCCTTATGCTGCCATGGCCTTACGCAGTTACAAAGTTTCTGCTTTTCCATTATCTCTATAATGATGGGAATACTCAATGAAGTCACATCAGTCAGGTGCAGTATCAAATAAGCATTTAAGGGCGGAGTCTGACCACCGAGCCGTGCAGACGCATCTGACACTAGCTCCGCCCTGACGGGTGGAAACCGGACCAAAAGCAGTGTCTATCAAGCCCGAAATCGCTTGAGGGAGCGCCACCCACATCAGGGGTGCCCCGCTGAGCACAGTGAAACCACTCCGATGCATGCCGAAGCCGGGATCATGGATTTCCAAATGCGGCCTGCTGGGGCTGAAGCGGGGGGCAGACGGCCGCTCCCCCCGGCGCACGAGCCCACAAACGATCTCATCACTGCCTACCTCCCCTCCTTGACCGGTGGGGGATATCCCAGTCCCCTCTGGCCACACAGACCAGCAAGGAAAGTGAGCAACACAGCCACAAGACATGGCAGGGCAGCAGATCCACAAGGTACAACCAAAATGGCCACCCAGCCTAGATCTACAAAGCGGAGCACCTGCTCTAAAGCACACATGTTCCCTATGGCAGTGTTTGACCAGCTATGTGAAGACCTCAGGAAAGCCCTGCTAAGCCAAAGGGCAGCCCACCTAACGGTGGCCTTGTGGATGAGACCAGCGGCGAGATGCAAATATTATAAGCAGGTAACCCGAGCATCAAAGATGGCCGTCAGGCAAAGCAGATACCAGAGGGCCCTGAGAAATACACCCTCCCACCCGCACACAAGCAACAAAGGGACATTAAACAAGCGAAGCACACTACTACAGCGTCTGACCTCGAATCCAGCTACTGACGCAGCACCAAGCACCTCTCCCCGACCAACTCTGCAACAAGAGCGGTTGCAAAGCTACACCTCATGAAGAGGCTTACTGGAGCTGACTCTTGCCACAGAAACACCGAGCCCTGCAGCCCACATGGGTCCGCAACACTTCGAAGCCAAGCTACAACACCTGGCCCAGGGAGGTCCAGCGAGAGAGAGTTCTGGCAGAAAGATATCACCGGAGGCCTTCATGATTGCCACTATGCCAGCAATGCCCTCCATGCTTCAGGTGTTGGATGAATTATCAGGACTTACCTACAGTAATCGTGAGTTCCATGTTGCGCAGTTTATGGAACCATGAGATGCTATGCTTTACACATGTAATAGTAGTTAAACCCTTACTGTTTGAATAGTCACAGTGGCTCACTTATAATTTTGCCTTTTCTTTTAATTTGGCCTCTACGTTACCCTGCTATAAATGCTGCCGCAATGACAGAAGGTGCACAGGGGCTTCCACATCTTGTCTTCTAACGATGTATTATAACATATGCTACCAACCCTATGAAAGTCATGTCCACTAAGCTTTAAAGCGTGGCCATCTTATGTTCTGGTACGACACAAACACGCTCGCATTGCAGCCAGTCTTGTATAATAATTGATTGCTTGTAACCACAACTCTTGCTGTTGCAACTAGCATGTAGTTATATCTTAACCTAATCAGCATGCACACATTTTGTTTTATTTAATTTTTATACCCCACCAGTTACTTAGCCTGACCAAATCTTAGGATGAATACCCCTGGTGGACACCATATCTTTACTCATTTATAATGTCACTAGACTCAAAGTAATTGTAATAAGCTCATCTGAATATTCGTTTGACACATGCTGATCCACCACATCATAAAAACAGTGCAATCTCTCCTGTTATTGTATGTCACACCACTGTTTTATCTTGATGTATCCTTCACAATGTTTACTTAAAATTGTGTACGTAATCCTGCACTGCAAAAATAAAGAATTTAAAAAAAAAAAAAATAAGCATTTAAACATTTAATGCGTAGTGAATAAAACACAGTTGTATTGACCATTTGGCCCTTACAATCCCCTCTAAAAGCAAGCATGCGAACTAGGAATCATGGGTAGGTAAGCAAGAATAGGGTCATCAGGATATGACTGAGAAGGTCAAATGCACCTAACAGGTGTGCCCGTTATCGGGTTCTTTGGTTGGCCTCTTCCCCTTAGTTGGATCAAAACCAGCCATAGGACATAGTGCAACCTGAAACTGGATAGGTTAAAGGATAGTGGGTAGATATACTTAGACCACAAACAGACTACAGGGGTACCCCATTATGTCTGCCCAAAACATCTGAGGCCAGAACTCATCACAACCGGACTCCATAAGGAGCATGACATGATTTCAATGACTTCCTCAACCGTGCAGATGATGCCCATCCCAAAGCTAATGATGTTGTAGTCTGTAGTCTTAAGTGAGTAACCTGTGCCAAAACCCTGCCAGATTCCTCTGAACCCACCACATCAGGTGCTTCATAATTTCCATCATCTTGCCGCTCCTGGTTCCCCCTTGATGATTGATATAAGATACCACCGTGGTGTTGTCTGTTCTTATCTTTACCCACTGATCCTTGAGATGTACTGAGAAGTGTTTCAACGCTCTGAGAACTGCCAGAAGTTCTAGCAGATTGGAATGTACGTTGCTTGTTATGAAACTCCATTCCTCCTGCAGAAAGCCCCTGGATAGGTGTTCTTTGCTCAGCCACCAGATCAGATAATGGCATATGGGGATACCTTGATGGGTTGGAGAAGATTCCTGGAGGAAAATTGCGTTAGGAAATTGGCTTGGAATGGTCTCATCCTCCACTGTGCCCATCTGGTCAGACCTATTGTGGAAGACATAGACCCGAGGAGACTCATTACCGCCTTTGCAAGAGCAATACTGGACATTAAAATTTTTTTTAATTGTTTCCTGAGTTTTGCAATTCTTGCCAGAGAAAGTTGAACTGTACCCATCAGAGTGTCGAAGTGAGCTCCTAAATATATCATACATTGGGTTGGGTGGAGGTGGCTCTTCTTGGTGTTGATTTTCCAACCGTGAGCTTGAAGAAACTGAATACTGGTGATAGCTTGGGTGGTTAATGTATCCCTGTTGTTTCCTAAGATCAGGATGTCGTCCAAATAATGGTAGATAGCAATATTCTGCTTCCTCAGCTCTGCAATCAGAACCACTAACACTTTTGTGAACGTCCTCCGGGCTGTACATAGTTTAAACGGAAGGGCTCTGAACTAGAAGTGGCCTTCCTCTACAGCAAACCTCAGGAACTTTTGATGGAACTGCACAATGGGTATGTGAAAGTAGACGTCTAATAGATCTATAGATAACATCCATTGGTTGGGTGCCACTACTTTTATTATAGACTGCAGGGATTCCATCTTTAATCTGCGAATGTGTAGATGCTTGTTCAATCTGTGCAGATCTAGAATAGGTTTCCATCCTCCTGAGGACTTTTTCATTAGGAAGATGTGTGAGTAAAACCCTTGAGTTCTTTTGCATGTCGGCACCTTTATGATAACCATTTCTGCTTGTAGGGATAAGATGAAGTTCTGTAGGGCCATGCACTTCTCTTTGTCCCCTGGTCACTTTGTGAGATGAAAAGACCTGTTGGGAGGTTGCTCGTAAAATTCTAGAAGGTATTCTCCAAATAATATCCAGTACCCAACAGTCGCTTGTGGATTCTGCCCATATGGACGGGTATTGAAGTAGACAAGCCCCGACTCCTTCTGACTTGGGAATTATATAGTCATAAATTCCTGGAGACCTTGGAGGAAAAAGTGCCTCGGGACTTGCCTCCTTTTCCTCCAGATTGGGCTCCTTTCCCAGATTGAAATCTGCCATATTCTCTCCCGGGTTTGTACGATCTACTATCCCAAAAGGAATGGTATTCTCTATGGGCACGAAAGGACCCTTTATATTTCCTTTCCTGTGGTAGAAAGGCTTTATTCCCTTCGGCAGCCCTTTTTATACACTTGTCCAGGTTCTTACCAAACAACATATTCCCATGAAATGGTAAGGAACATAAGTGATGGCAAGTTGAATGCAGCATGTTATCGGAAAATACTAGCAATTTGCATTCTTCTGCAAGAGATGCTCTTGGACTGCATGGGACACTCTTAGACTTTCCAGCATGACTATGACCCTAAACACAAGGCGAAGTTGACCCTCCAGTGATTACAGCAGAAAAAGGTGAAGGTTCTGGAATGGCCATCACAGTTACCTGACCTTAATATCATAGAGAAACTCTGGAGAGATCTCAAATGTGCGGTTCATGCAAGACGACCAAACACTTTGCATGAACAGGAGGCATTTTTACAATATGAATGGACAGCTATAACATCTGCAAGAATTAGGGGCCTCATAGACAACTATTACAAAAGACTGCACACTGTCATTGATCCTAAAAGGGGCAATACACAGTGTTAAGAATAAGGGAATGCAGACTTTTGAACAGGAGTAATTTCATTTTTTTCTTTGTTGCCATGTTTTGTTTTATGATTGTGCCATGCCGTTATAACCTACAGTTAAATATGAATCCCGTTACAAATAAAAGAAACATGTTTTTCCTGCTCATTCATATTTTCTTCAAAAATGGCACATATGTTTCCAGTTCTCCAACGGTATGCAAACTTTTGAGCACAACTGTAGATATTTATTATTTTTTTCACTTACTAAACTATGGAAAAATGCTTACTTAAAAATATATTTGAAAATAAAAATAACTTTTATTTACGTATACTTGTATTGTATATCTATGACATAAGAAGCACGGGCACAGCTGCAAGTACATATTAAGCAAAGAGCTAATAATATTTTTTTCTTAGTGTAATCTCATTTGTGTTCCAGATTACACGTCTGGTATTCAAAATATTTATCCGAGTCCAGAAGTGACCACAGCACTTTGCCAAATTGCAAAACACATTCAAAAAACAAACAGCTTTGCAGTTTAGTGTAAATAGAATGTCCTTCTGATTTAATCAGACATTTGCTTTTTCTTTCCAAGATTGTATCCAAACTCTTATGTATCTCACTCAAAGTATAAATCAGGAATTTAAGAATGAAAAATGGTATTCTCTGCAACAATTTGGCAGCAGCTTTTGTTGGATGGAATTTAACCTTGAAAATTGTTAGGCAGTCTGATCTCAGCAAAAATGCATCAAGAAATACGATTAAGAGAATAAAACCTTAAAGGGACACTGAGTACCAAAACAAAATTAGCTTAATAAAGTGGGTATGTTGTAAAGACATCATCTCTGTAGTTTTTCTTTTTAATAATGTTTATTTCTGGGGATAAATGCAAGTTTCTTCTGTGTGTTGGGCCTCCTCCATGAGCTGTCACTCACAGCAGTGATAATGTCACTACCTTTGAAGTCTGGAGCCTAGGTTTGAATCTCACCTCACCAGCAAGTGTTCCTGGTCAAGACACATAATAATATGTCTACCAAACTTAAATCCTCATAGATTGTTTGTTTAAGCAGGGCATTCGTTATCCCCTTTCTATAATTATAAAGCACTAACTCCACAATGAAGAAAAAAACATACATTGGGTCTAATATTTAACCTCTGTCTTTCCTAATTGCAGAGATCAGACGGAAAAACACAAGCCAATCTGTTAAGAATTTATGTCCCATAAAATTGAGCCCCAGAAGCTGCCTGCTCCTGCTGGACTACAGTATCTGATATATTTAGTATAATTCTGGCTGAAATTGGTGGTAGTTAAAATACACATTTGATGTACTGGGATTGCGGACAACTACTTACTAAACAATGTATGTGTAATATAACTTCAAAAGCCCTCATCCAGGGATTGGCAGAGCATGATAAGAGATTTAGATCAAAATAACTTTATATAGTAAGTCACCATTTTAATAGACTTATACAAATAAATACTTAAAAATGGTACTTAAGCTAAAACATCCCTAAAATAATAAAATCACCAATCTGTGCGAAGCTTAGCAATATTCATTGCTACAAAATGATACAATAAAACATCATGTCAGCCTGCAGACAAGATTCCTTTTCACTTGA